GTCTAGTCAACACAGGTAAGGTTTATTTGCCACTATTATATTTCAACAGTAACTTTATGTGAGGCTGTTACACATGTCATGTGTTTTCCAACACCTCTGTCATGGTGTTTGTATCTTCACTTTGGAAGCACTCAAGCACAGCTGTCTTGTAAGTTTGGCTTAGGCTCTAATGTATGGCTTATCTCCCTGGCAGATTTTCAGGCTACATCCTTTCAGGTTCCAGAATGACCACAACCACATGTATTGGGGCACAGCTGTGATGACAGATTCTGGGCAGATCTTGCCGAGCTGCATGGCTTATGTGATGCACACCTCTTGATTGTGCATAAGCTGGAGTACGGAGAATTCTTGTTCTTTTAGGAACTATGAGCGTGCCCCGACGCAAATCTTATATCGGTAACGCACTCACGGACGTAGTGTGCAGCATCGAGGCACCGAGCACCTTGGAAGACATTCATATCGCACTTCCAAAGGTGGGAGAGGTAGGAATATGTGAACCCAGGATGATTGAGCCTGTATCAGGCAGTGCGCCGAATGCATGATTGATCGTGTGTGGTCCACGAGAGCTCACGAAACGAGAGGAGACATGGCAAGGGCCCATTACAAGCAGCGGCGTTTTGCCGCACAGGTACACCCAGCCTGGTACATCGCCAAAAATTGATGAGCAGGAGTCGGTCGGGACAAATTGTGGCAGTTGTGTGAAGATGTACTTATTCCTATATGTACGTACTCCGCGTTGCTTCTCTCATTGTGATCGCGTTTATAGAGGCTGATGGGGTGTATGTTACAGAGACAGTGTAATCCGTATGAATGCCTTTGGCATAGCGGTAAGGCTTGCAGATGTCAATAGCGGAGAATATAACTCGAGCGATTTTTTCGGACACACCATACGCTACTGTGCCTCAATTCCCAAAGCCTTGTAGTTTCGAACGGGGGGGAATCTCGCCCCCTTGAGGTATGAGCAAGAGTGAAGGTACGTCACGCACGGAACAGGGTCGAGGTAGAGTGAGAGGACAACTTTATCCAAATTTGCTGATTTTATCTTCATGTCTGAATGAAGTCGCCAAATCTTGAAAGCCTGAAGTACGGGGTTCATGCTGACGAGATGTTGGCGTTGGACCATTGAATATATGATACCGCCGCCGTGAAGCAAATTCCTACAGAATTGCAGTGCATATTACCATTATACAAGCCGTACGAACCCGAGAAATTCACAGCGTTCGATATAGGTTGCCGTTGCCATTTCTCCGGCGTATACAGAGCAATCCAAACGACTAGTTCATAATCCATTCTCTCATTGCCCGACATCCACCAATGTCAGGATGAAGCATCACTGATGATAGCCAATGTTGGAGGAGGCGTCTCCGATGGTCAAGAAAGGTCGGTCGGAACTTTGCCAGGGGGTACTTGGGTGGGAGATTAGGTATGAAGTGCTGCTGATCCTCCTGGCGCGGCCCATGAGCATTGAAGCGTGCTCAGAAGAGCGATAGTTGACCATGACTCACGGGGAGTGCAGTGCGGAGCCTGGTGTACAATTCTACAAATGCACTGTATCGCTTATGGACATGAATGACGGTCCCCTACATTATTTCAATCCCGATTAGTCGACAATATACGAGCTACGACTTATCGACATACCTCCTTAGTCTTTACAGCACAATCGTACACTGAGTACCGTCGCTCAGATGTGACAAAAATGACTATTGAGTACAATAGACTCACCGATGTACGCTCCGCCGCGCTTATCGCCGACGCTCGTCCAACCAACCACCTCTACTTCTCGCGCGAAAGCGAGACTTTCGCCCGAATTATCACCTAGCCAGATGTCTCGCGAGAAGACCGATGGTGCATGTACAGGTGAGGCTGGACGTCTCGGCGGAATGTTGATGGGGGTCTGCACCAGACGTTATTTTGGGCAGGACGAGCAAGATCGGAGAGCGCACGTCGCAAAGTTCCTCGTAAAGCCGCGCCTCTTCCTCGACGTCAATCTTGTCCGGAAGTATGACGAGAAGTCCTTGCGCATTTTCAAACGGATGGGTGATGGAAGGAGAAGAGGGCACTCTCCGCTGTTCCGAGTCGCGCGGGGGAGATGATGGCATCTGAAAGCAACAGTATATACGAATACAGAGGTGCGGTTGTCGTTTAATGCGGTTCGACCCTAGAAGTCATTGCAATGGAGGAAGCCCAAGCCCAGTCGAAGCGGATTCGAATACAAAAGTAAAGTGTTGATGTTGGAGGCGTGACTGCGGAGCCTGAAGGCATGAGATCCGAGAGGTCACCCGGGTCGAATAAGTATGTCTCCATTGCTGATCTCGCTATGTCTCCTAGCTTCTTTTCCATCCCCGAGCACATGTCCACCGAAAAGACGACTTGGAACACTGTCAGAGCTCAAGATGATGCAAACGAGGCCTGGACAACGAGAGCAAGCCGTCGACGTGAACGGCAGGGTGCACTCGGCTTTTCGCTATCACAGGATTTCATGTTAGGAGTCCCGCCTCGATGATCTTGACGATCCTTGTCGCGTTAAGAAGGAAGAATCATTAGCTCTTGCGGTGAGTGTTCAAATTGATCTTTATCACCACCTTGTTTTCATACCGCCGCTGGCACGCATTCCACATGTGAACAATCGAAGGCGGGAAGGTAGGCGCATTGCTTCTCTGTGCCGATGCTCCTCACGAACGTGGTATAGGACCGCTCCCTTGTCAGTAAGAATGGTCAGCAGGTCGATAAAATTTTCTGAAGTTGGAGTGTCTCATTGCAAAATTATGTGGTGCTCTCTGCCTATTGCCGGTAGAAGAATATATTCACTTCCCAGTCATTCTATCGCGGCGAGTTTCTGTGTGCGCGCCTATGAATTTGGCGAGGTCGACCATGACCGTTAGGCGTTCACATAAAGTGTGCGTGTGAGGTCATTTGCGCACATTAGCAGGGTGCTCTAGCCACACTGGTCTGCTGAGCGCTGAAAGGCGCGTGGACCTCGTTGTGGCCGCGTGTGGCATTGACCCCGATATATAGACTTCGCCCTTTGTTTACAGCGCTCTCCCCCAGTCTGCCTCTAAACTATTCGACTGCTATAACTATGACAGAGATTATCCAATTTCAAGACCCACAGGATCTGCATCAAACCCTCTCGTACGAGCCTTCTTATCCCAGCTCGCCCTACCCCACGTCGCGTCGCGCGCCCCATATCCGCAGCCATGCAAGCAATCCGAGTCGTATTATTCCAAGCCGCCTCGCGAGTTCAACCCGAAGCTGGAATTCATCTGTTTATCACAATTCTGCCCTAATGCCGCCTAGACCATTGCCCCATCCAACCCACTCGGGGGGGGTGTCGATCGCTACCTTGCAACATCAGCCGTCGGAACTGGAACCTACGCCCGAGTCTCAAATTGATCCCGACGAAGAACCTGGTGATGGACAGGATGAGGAGACTGAGCAGGAACCAGAGCCTGAGCCTGAGCAGTACACGATACAAGATTGGGTCAACGCAGAGCCCAGCATGGAGCACATGAATCTTCGCCCAGACGGAGATCCCGAGGCAGGCTTGGCTTATGCGCAAGATGCGGCCAATGGCAGGTCAAGAGGTTTTGTTGGAGGTTTTGTTACCGGGCTGAGGAAACTCCCAAAGGCGATCACACGAAACCCAATACGAGAGAGAAAGGTATTGAAGAAGGATCCTCAGGGTTTCTTCGAGGATGATATTCCCGAGGCGCTCCCCCGCTACGACGACCCCGGTCAGCCTGTGGCAGGCCCATCCAACATTCGCTACGTAGAGGAGACAGATATGCCGAACGAACAGGTTTATTCTTCTCAACAGCTCGAGCCGGAAATGGTTCCCGAAGCGCGTACCTCACAAACGCCTCTTAGGAATCCTCACGAATCATACAATAGCGATCGCACTGGAAATTTCTATGTCGGCGTTCCGGTGGCCGTGGAACCGCAGCCCACCAGCGACTACAGAGGGATGAAGCCTCCCTCCGTTGTTCAGCAGAAGGATGAGTCTTTGCGCACTTTCTGCTACAACGTCTATGATTTCTTCATCAAGCTGGAGAAGCTTCCTTGGATATCGTCGCCCGTCACTTCGACATACCGACCGGACGAATCCGTCCGTGCGCGTCCCGTGGGCAAGGCGTCGAAGTCCTGGTATAATACCACGTCCCAGGATCTATCACACAAGATACCCATAGATTCGCCAGCGGCAGCGAAGATGGAGATACGAGATGAGGGTGCCAGGTCTCCTAGATCGGCCCTCTCGACTGCGACGAGCAGGTCGTCTCATTGCGCGAGCCAGTGTCCGTCAAGTCATAGAGGGTATTCGGCTAGCAACGTTAGCAGTCGCTTACCGTCTCCGAGGCCATCGCACAGCATGCATAGCAGACACCGCAGCTCGAGGTTCAGTTATCGGGGATCACAGCAGATCTTCCTCCAGGGAGGCATCGAGGTTCCTTTCGATCCAGTCACGAGGCAACCTATACCGATGTCTTTGGTTCCCAGGTCATCACCTATACTCGTCTCGTCATCATCTCCGCCACCAAGGCAGCCGTCTACCCACATATTTTATATGGATTCTCCGCCGCCCGAACATGCTGGGGATGCTAGCATGTCTCGCTAGTCTCATCGCTATGTGACCTTATGAGCCCCTGGTGTTTCTGGGCAGATTCTTATGCCTACATGAGTCGGACTCAGTTTGCCATGTTTCGTATTATGGGGCGATTTAGTACATACGGTAACAGTTTAACACAATTCAGATCATTTGTCCTTTGCTCGGTGTCCGCATTGGCGATATCTCCCATTTTGATCTTGTCCAGCGTGATTTGATTCCTAGAGTTCTCGATCTGAGGGTCGTCATCCGGCCCAGCCGTCTGGTCAGGTTCCAAATGGCTGACCACCCACCTCTTAAGTATGTTCGGTGAGCCTGTTGTCGCTCTCGCTCTTCGTCGCTGTTCTCGTTTAACTGGTTTTGCTTTCGTATCGCATTGCTTTCGTGGCTCCATGGCTTCTATTACTACTTTCAAGACGGCTTCGGGCAAGGAATATACGCGCTCTGATTTCTGGTTCGCAGATGGCAACATCGTCCTCGTCGTTCGCCACGCAATATTCAAGGTACATCGCGGTCAGCTCGAGCGTCACTCTGACATATTTCGTGATCTCTTCTCAATACCCCAGCCCGAAGAGCAAGATATGATCGACGGATGTCCTTGGATAGAATTGCACGATACCCCCTCAGACGTACTGTATCTATTGACTGCGCTATATGACGGATTGTAAGTCTATCCATTCATTGCGTTCGACGATCCCACCTCGAGCCGTTGCAATGCAGGTACTTCGCTAAATCCAATGCTCTCACGTTTCCTGCTCTCGCTGGCGTTCTCCGCCTCTCCAACAAATACCTCATTGATCATCTTCGTCGCCGCTGTCTCATTCGACTTCGCACAGACTGGCCCGCCACTTTGGCCGGCTGGGACGTTAGGGAGAAACAAGCAACCGACCCTGCAGGACGTTATATCCCCCGTGACAGCTTCCCTCATCCCATTCTTGTCATCCAACTAGCTCAAGAACTCAACCTCAGCGACCTTATCCCCGCTGCTCTGTATGACTTATCTCGTTATGGACCACGCAAAATCGTTGCGGGTGCCGTGCCCCCCACGTCCCTTCTTCCGGCGGTCTTTGCCGACCCGTCAGAAGCCAAGTCTGAGGAAGAAAATGGTCGTGTAGTACTTCCGCGTCAAGAGCTATATACCGTTCTCTCCGGGCGCGAATCCGGACAGCGCTACCTCGCGACTTTTGTCGAGAAAGAGCTTAGTGCCCGCCCGGTATCCGCGAACTGCGCTAACAAGGCGAACGAGAATGGACGCGTTTGCCGCGAGTCGTTCTACTTCATCATGCTCAACGTGATGCGCTCTGTGGGGGGTATCGCCAGCGGACGCGATGCTGATCCTCTCTTCACCCTTGTGCAAGCGGTCGACATGCTCTCCCGCACCGACTTCTCGGACGGCGTAAAGCAGTGCGGATTGAAGATCTGCGCATCTTGCAAGGCAGACTTTACACAAACTGCGTCGAAAGCCAGGGAGGATGTCTGGGAGCAGATCCCGGTTTGGTTTGGGTTGAAGAACTCAGTGACCATGGTGTCAAAGAGTCTATGATCCGGTGCACCGGTGTGTACGCTGATTGTATACACTGATGCTCCACACACGTTTTAATATGAGGATTGCTTGTATATCTACTATTTTTTGGCTGTGGTATACCTAACATTTTAAATACTTCAATTGCATTTAATATCTAGCCTTGAACGATGACGAAAGCATATGGCGCGATGGCGACGCAGTGGACACGCGTTCTGTCACACTCACGTGCAATAAAGTCGCGAGCTCTCACGCGCATGAGGCCGACTTTCGACTCCGAGTCCGCGCGAGCTCGTCCTTTCTTCGATTTACTTGCCCACCTGTGGCACAATTACTATGATGTACACACATTTTACAAACAATGCTTCATCTTCTAGCGACATTGAAGAAACACCAGAAGTGAGTATCTATTGTTACGGACCATTTGTTCAAACACAGTCGAGAAAGATGCTGATGCGATTTACAATCACAGTGGCACTCGAGTTTCGAAGGTATGGCATTAGTTTTGTAAAACTACTTACCTGCATCTGATTGTGGGAAGCATTCAAACAAGGGAGAGGAGACATACTTGAAGCCACGGTGGCGCGACTACGTGACAGTGCCACAACTCAACATGGCCAGCATCCCGCCACGGGCGGGATGGAGAGCCTATTTGCTGTGAGCCAACATGGACTTCAATTGCACTAGACTGGTCATGTAACTATGAACAGATCGGCGATGAGCTGCTCAAGCTGCAGTCCATTATTAGGGAAAGGGATCACGCCCAACGTGCCAATGTAAGATTGTGCTGCTCAGTGGTTATCTTCGCTGTCTGATTGACGTCGATCTCTAGACGAGACGGATCGCTCTTCTAGAGGACAAATTATCGCTTTTGCAGCTGCGTTGTGACCAGGCTGAAGCATTGAACGCGCAATTACAGGAAGTGAGTATTCCTTTGAAAGCACTGTGTGGACTAGCTGTTTGATTTTTCTTGATAAGGAACGTGAGGATGTCGTATCGCAGCTACGACATCCTTCAGATGAAATGGTGCGTACTTGCGCTTTAGGTATATTTCGTAGTAAATCAAATTCCTTATGATATCCGCTTCATACACAAGGAGCATGAGTCTCGCGCGACTTCAGAATTTGGAGAGGACCATTATGTAGGGCTATTCCAATTTTTGCCGTCATATCAGCACTCAGCCTTTTATTAGTCGTCTTCTGACTTGATTGATCACCGTACGGATTTAGAAATATGCTACAAATTGAGGGAAATGTCAAAGTGGCGTATAGATGTATGTCCCTCTCGTGCCGACGAGGCTGTCTGATTTTGAACGCTGTTGTCTCACCTGGTCAGGCCGTTCGTGGGAATCATAAACGGCTAATGCGATGGCCAGTTATTGAGGACCGCCCAAAGACCAGACCATCTCTGAACATCGCAGGTGACCTGAAGCCCTGGCTGGAAGCTGAAGTGAGTTGTTATTTTGCATGCTATAATACCACTGATACCGATCTCTGATACAGGACCTGACGAGTCTCTGGTACGTAAAAGCTATCAGCGAGCCTTATTCATCATCAATTACCTAGTCGTCCAGCTGTCCGGGTGACGTCCTTGCTTTCCCAGAACGTTTCAGCTTCAATGGTGCTCAGCATGCTATTCTCGTCGAGCCTCTATATGAGTATAATCCCCTCGCAAAGAAGGAGCGACTCTGGTCCCGTAGGATACCAATCTTTCGCACATGGTTAGGTCGGACCCGTGAAGTCTTTTATAGGAATGGAATGACCTCTGGTGCCTGGGTATACTCTGGAACGTACAGGTGCATGGAGCTTACCGATCTTGATCCTCGCCACTGCCGCACGCTGTCGAAGAATGTGAGTCAATCCTTTATGATGAACAGTGCGTTGGAACCCAGATACACTTCGCAGGTTCAACACGCTCTCGCAAGATTAGCCACCCCTCCAGAATTCGAAACTTCTACTAGATTTATGACTTGCATCACTGACCTCTACGAAAACGGCTTGGCTGGCGTCTGCGCTATGGGTTTGCAGTGTGTGGGCTACAATCAAGCCCTACACGATGCGCTTCTGAGCAAGGGTGCTACACTTCATGAAGGGAACTTGATCGTCAATGACGCCGACGACGACTCTGGTACAGAAGCAGATGAAGATGGGCGCCCTCAATCAGGGCAGAAGAGGGCTAGAAATCGCAAGAAGCATCACCGCCGGTAATGGCACAGAAGTCAGAATGATAACACCGCGCAATGCCGTTTGAAGAAACGATGCGATTTATATCATGAATCTTCAACTGTTGTACATCTCTTCTGCGTTGATCGTAGATCAGTCACAGCTCTATTATTGTGCTTATATCGTGGAGTCTTAAGCACATTCCTACGATCTGTATTATTTCAAATGCCAATGTATCATCGATTATGATGTAAAGATCTGGTCTCCTGTGAGCAGGGTAGATACGTATACTTCCTTCAACCTTCGCTCTTGCAGACTTTAAGCATCCGTATCTGACCTCTGATCGGAATATTCCTCGCCGGTCACCCACCTCGCGTTCAGGACTCGGAATGAACAGTCAGCCACATTGCGTGCACACTATGATAATACATCTCATCGACGCTCAACATATATATACAGTTGTAAAGTCCAGATGAATAAGTTAACATAGCTGTACGACGATGCTTTACGTGCAGCAGATGAATTACCACCGCCCCCGCGAATTTACGGGCGGTCGAGGCGGGGTTGAATGTGGAGGCACATATCCTGCAGGATATCCTGGAGCCCCTGGCGCACTGGTGCGGCCAGGCGAAGGATATGGTGAAGCGTGATATGGCCCGGAATTCGGAACGGAGAATGTTAGTGGTGCAGAGTGGCCGTCCTGTCTATGCATCTGGGCTGCCATGGGCGAGGGGGACGGTTGCCTAAAATTTGGGCGGTGTTGGGGTGGCGAGCCTGACAGAGCTGGTTGGCCAAACTTGTTGTGGTCGGGGTGCGTGCGAGATATTATCACGGGGGGTGATCCTGAAATGAACGTGAGAAACGAGGACGGAACCTACGAATGTCCATACCGTGCTTGTGATCCTTTTCTGCCACTCTCCCTTCTTTTTCTGCCCGCTTTTGCGCTTTCTCCCTCTCCCTCGCATCTTTATCCTTTCCCTTTCCCTTCTTCTCTTGATTACCTACACTGCTACCCGCAGTCGCACCTCCGTTTTCAATAGCGCCTACATTCTTTTTCACAGTCCATCCAAGCTCCGACGGAGGATCTTTCACCTCTGCGCGAGGCTTCAGCTCCGGTATGTCGATTTTACTAAGGTGAATAACCAAACTCTGCGGAGGCGCATACGCTTGTGGACGTGGATCATCCAGTTTGATACGCCGCGGGCCCTTCCTCGCCATGGTATCATACATAACATACTGATGCAACTCGTCCTCCCCTGACGTTTCCACAAGTTTGATGTAAGAATATATAGCGGTGCAGCTACAGCGATGCCGCTTACCAGATTTGTGTCGGAGTCGTTTCGTCTCCTCGACGACGCGCAGGACCTTAGGTACCTCTGCTGGTGACGCAGAGCGGACAGTGATGAACAGCATGGCGTCGTCCTTGAGTCGCACCCCATCATCAGACGTAAAACCAGGCGAGTGGGGTCTCACGCACCTTCAATAATCCATATGCAAATCGAGAAAACTCTTCGATACTTCCTTCCTCTCCGACTTCCACCTCATTCGCCTCCCCCTCTCCCTGGAGCGTGCGCATCATGTGCAGTTCGGATATGCGTTCTGAACCTGTACGTGGAGGTGGTCGGGGAGGCAATACGGGGGTAGGGCTATCGCCTTCTGGAGCAACATTTAGGTTGGTTGAGGACGAAGAGGCCTTTCTGTTCCCCAGGCCTATACCAAGCAGGCCGGAAAGAGCTGCAGTAGATGTCCCTATACCATTTCCTGGAGCATCATCAGAACGTGGAGCATGTAATGCTTCGTTCATGTCATGGAAAGTGAGCAGCGCGGTGAGAATGACAATCTCGAGCCCTTTGCGATCATCGATGTCAAACCTACGAGATGGTGCAACTTGAATTTGCGAGAAAAAGTTGATCACATGAAAAGCATACCGATTCAAGTTGTAGTCCAAGATTTGTACAGTCGTCGTTTTCAGCCGCCCTGTTGGCTCTTTGGTGACCGCAACCAGAACGGCAGGATCCGGTTTGCGAAGGATGTAGCACTCCTCTCGTTTCCATTCAAATTCGTGTCTGCATCATATGGAGATGGCGAAGATAATTAGCATCAACACTCCACGTTAGATCGGCACTTACTCTTCCCATTTGAACGTCCATTTAAATGAGAGCGTCCCGGTGTACTTCAGCTCAATCACAGCGTCGGGATTGTGAAGCTGGAGAGTTTTATGTTTGCTGACCGCGCTGGGAGCGGTGGCCGTAGCAAGAACAGTATCAGCAGTAGGGTCTGCGGTTTACAAGTTCTTTAGGCATTGGCTTGCTAGCCAATGAGATTCAAGGAAGAGGTACAAGCTTACCGTGAAGTCTAACGGTATATGCGGTCCCAGATAACTTCTCTTTACGATAATGCACGGTTCCTGACCCATCTACGAGATCGACGATATTCGGGTCCTTAGCATTAGGGGAAACATTGAGCGTGAAGAGGTTCTGGTCCAAGCTCATCTGTCTGCAGGTCGTTGTGTGGGATTATCTTGTATTGAGGTAGAAGTTATATGTCCGCTTGACGTGGGCATACGCAGTTTGTCCATGCCGTAACATGATCCACTTGCTACTTATACACAGCTTCACTCTAATCAGCGGGCGCTTCAATCGCCTCGGACTGCGGCGCGTCAGGCGTGGGGTCAGTATGGAACAGCCACCGCGCTATGATGCGGATTCTGGGAGAGGTATCACAACTAATACATCATATTTACAATTCATTGACTAATAGCACAGTGGTAAGTAGATATTCCAATGAAAGATGTGTTTCCATGTCCAATGTCTATAGCCGCAGCGCCGGCTCTCTTCCTCACTCGTCAAAATCGTCCAAGTCCATCAACCCACCCGAAGACAAATCGACGACTTGAACTCCCAGCTCTCCATCCGATCCCACATCCACATCCCCATCCATATCCACATCCGTGTCCTCGTCATCCGCCTCATCCTTCGGCTTATCCTCCTCATCGAGGAAATCCAGACAGCCCCGCGAACATCCCCTCCATCTCGCAGGCACGCCCATGATGCCACCTGCGGCACCCACGTCCTGGCCTGCCACGATGCGCTCCCACGTAAAGCGCTCCTCCGCATGATGCACAAACACTGGCGTGTGCCCGTCCACCCACTGCCCGTCGCTCGTCTGATGTACAGGAGACGCGCACACACTGATCCCCGGCAGTGTCCTATCAGCCTCCGTCGTTCTTTCCTGCTCGACAGGCTGCGGCCGTGGTAGCGGTGGGTACCTGCGCGTATGCACGTCGTCTGTGTCTCTGTTCTTTGGCTTCTTCGACGGGGACGGGGTATCACCTGACGGCTTGGCAACGGCTGCGGGGAGGCATGCGCGCAGCGCGTCCATCACCCTGATTGGATAGCCTTGTGCGCAGGGCAAAGGGAGGGCATAGTACGCTTCGAGGACTGTCTCTGCTCTTTTGCCACCGTCCATCGCAACTGGGCTTTGAGACTGAGCAGGAGAGAAGAGCAGCCTTAAACAGTATTCGGCGAGAAGAGGTGTCAGGAAGTGGACTATGGTGGGCGATATGCGTGAATTTTCCCTTGGACTTGTATGTTTATCATCCGGCTTATCTTCGTCTAGGTTCATTGGAGGCACGAGCCATGGGTTTCCTGTAACGCTCAGTGTCTCAAGATGCATGTCCAGCATCTCTGCAGGTAGCCACTGAAGTTTGTTAAAGGCAACATTTAGCTCGCGAAGATTGGTGAGAGTCGCGATCTGTGGAGGCAGCTCAGTTATAGCATTATTTCCTGTGTTTATCCCGAGTCAGTCGTGACTATGCTAGCAGCATGAGTGACGCACGCAAAGTCAGCACTGTCAAGCCTGAAAGCTGGAAGAGTTCAGCCGGTAGTGTCCGAAATGCATGGCCGTTGAGAAACAGCTTGATCTGGCCGTGGCTCGAGGCAACGGCAGGCTGCATGCCCACAAACGAAGCTGACTTTCCCACCAACTGTCGATGGGAGGACGGTCCTTCCAGCAACTCAGTGGACAAGAAGCTCCAGTTGTGGGCAGATAATGTTGGGAGAGTGGCCGCTCGCATGAACGGCCGACCTTGATGAGGTGTAGGCTTGTCAGGAGATAGGACTACGAGACCTGCAAGATCCGCGATGGAGGGCGGAATTTGGGTCAGAGGCTGCTGCATAAGGCCATTCCTGTGGGGAATAGCGCGAAGACATGCATGAATGACAGTCACACAGATAAGCATCTCCCTTCACTCACGCCAAATAAATGACTCCATGAGCAGAATCTACTGCCTCTGTGATCGCCTTATCCCAAATAGCCCGCTCACAGCCTTGATCAGAGGAAGAAAACGACCCTCGGGGAGTATCGTTGTCCGTAGAGAATAAATCGCTGGATTCCTCACAATCCGTGGGCACATCCTCCGACTGCGCTGTGGAAGTGGATGCTCCAGACGTGCTCGCGCACGAGAGAATGCTAGAGCTCGAACATGTGCTCTCGTCGGACCGAACACGAGCAAAATCTCTCTTCCTCCGCGGAGGTCTCCCTTTCGCAGACCCAGCCAGAGGGTCTGCAGCCTGAGAGGACGTGCGTGCATACGAATAACCCATTAAACCACCGGAAGACGATTCCCGGAAGCTTTTGGGTCGCGTATACGGACGCTTCTTTGACCTCGGACTCCCAAAATCAGTCGCATAAAACTGGTCGTGTGCCTCATCGTCCTCCATGTCTCCCCGACTAGCACTCCAACCAAGGGGACGACTGCGCTGATCATAGATACGAAATGCCTTTGTTGCCTTCGTAGATGCCGCGTAGGGATGTATCGGGCCCGGCGACACTTGGGGTGTGCGAATAGGTGTCAAGCTAGGCGACGATGGGGGCGAGGAGTCTGCTGGATCGTAAGGGGATGGTGATGAAGCCGGAGACGAGTCTGGGAGGCTGGAATCGTATATATCTGTGTACGGCATCGTTTCTGAATGAAGTTAGTATGTGTGTGAGAGAAAAGTGAGCAAGGGCACAGCTGGAATTTATAAGGCACGCGAGACAGTAAATGCGCGCACCTTCCAAAAGATTTCACGTGATCGCGTCTGAACTCGTATTATTTTCCATGAGCAATATTGGATATGTAGTATAGTACTACATACTATTTTGTAGGACTATTTGAAGTAGAGCTGTAGGTAGGTAAGTGCGAGTATGCGAAAGGCTAGAGCACGCCTATATGTGAGACTGGTCTGCTGATTGTAACTTGAATCAACCGTGATTTTACCACGACGCTGCTGTTCGATCTCACCAACCTACCAGGACTCTACTCAGTGTTGATACAAGACTGCACCCAACTTGTTTCTCCACATTTTCAGCGTACAGATTTGATGTATCTGCTATTATCTGCGGGGGTCTTTATACTGTTGTTCCTAGGCGATGCTTATGCGGCCCACAGCTGGACTAGCTCTTTGGCACCTCAATCAACGGTGTCGGAATGCAAACCCTTCCAGAGCAACTTTGGTCCCCAAGATGTCTCTGGTGGCTCTGATACTGCCTTTCAAGCTACCAGTCCCTTAGGATCCTATCGCACGACTTCAAATGGGTTGCAACTTTTCATGAAAAAACCGGGCGGACCCATTATTACCAAGCACGGTGTTAATGACAAAGTTGCGAGCGGGGCTACCATCAATTCGACGTTCACTCTCTTGTCTGTCGGTTTTCCCTCTATCCGCTGACTAGGCTGAGTATCGCGACGTACGAACTCAACTTTTCTGGCTTTTAGATATGGACGGGTCACAGTTGCGCTTTCCGGTCCCCCAGTTCACGGAGCAGTTACTGCAGCAGTACTCATAGGTAAGTTTCTTTTCCGCCTGTCTTTTGGTGAAAATATACGTGTTTGCAGCTGATCAACATGACGAGATTGACATCGAGCTTGTCGGAGGCGATCCCACCCATTGGCAGACCAACGTCTACGGCCCCAGCTCACCTGACAGCAAACCTCTGTGGGGCGTCTTTGGCGGTATACAGGACTATTTGAATAACGGATCACTTGAAGATATTCATGATTATACTATTGACTGGAACGACGAGCGCATTATTTGGAGTGTTGATGGTGTTGATGTTCGCACCGTTCAGAAAGGTATGTGCCAAGTTTTCTGATAGCCTCAATTATCAATCATACGATCTAGGTCAAACGTTGAAGGATGGTGCACTCCATTTCCCCTCCCACCCTACTCGCATACAAATTGGCATCTGGGATGCAAGCTCTCCCGCAGGCACGGCGCAATGGGCAAAAGGACCAATTGATTGGGCGTCTGCTCCATCGACAATGTCAGCCACGTTCAAGAGTGTCAAGGTGGAATGCCCGTACTGAAAGCACTGGCTTGGTTTCCCGTTTTATAATTATTGTTATCTTATTCCCCGGCAAGCCTCGCCGATGATAGTTTTCAATTACTCCTACCATAGCATCTCGTGTGATATCCGTCAATTAGTTTTTGATTTGTATCATCATCGAATGTCGCCCGAGGCTCGTGCATCACGAACAATGGTGTCCACGACTGTCTTCTTCAAGGGCTATAAGATTGTTTATTCACGACCCAACAAAAATGCCCACAACCGGCAGCACATGGATGACCATGAAGCATATGTCCCGTATTAGACACAGACAAGTCATTATCGGTGCCTTCGCCACCACTAGCCGTGCTTTCGCCTGTGTGCAGGCCCAAACTATCATCCGACCCGCCATCGCTATCTCCGGTGATTGACGCGCTCCTCGAAATCGCACGACCTCTTCTACGCATAGTAGACGTTGGTTCTGGAGTGGCATTTGGAGGTAGACGACGTCGTTCGCGTTGAAGCGGTTTTGGCTGTCCTAACTCCACCATGGGCCGTCGCATATAGTAATCCCGGTAGCATGCCTGGTGGCCGCCGTGCATGCATACCGGGCATGTGAATAAGAGGGCCCGAACAGGTAAATGGCTGAGGGGCAATCAATGCCGTCAATAGGTGAATGAAGACGGTGGGAGATAAAATGACTAGCCATATTGAGCAGAGCGTTATGCTCTCCTTGCAACCCTTACAATATGCGTAGCTTCCTGAGGGCTGCCCTGATTGAGTAGGTTCAGCCGCAGGGCTACTGATAGACTTGCGACATCGGCCACATGATGTGTATATAGTGGTTTGTAACTGCACAGCCATCTTGTTTAGCGTCAAATCGTTGGTCTGCACTGCCAAAAACGTACGGTGGTACTTGCGCGTATCTCTTCCGCGTCAACATATTTGCGCATATAGGCTGCGCATGTTTCTAGGCGCAGTTGAGACAAGATGGCTGCGGAACGTTCAGGTGCTGCAACAGTTATACTAAACGCGTGACCTGCCTATGTAGCTCTCAAGCAATCTCAACGAACGCATCTTGCTTATCTTAAGCTCTTGTGGAGCCACAATGGCCAAGAACGCACATAGCTGAACGTTACCCTAACAGGACATCAGGTGGAGAAACACAATGCTGTGAAGCCGAATCGAGATCATACCTGCTCAATGAAGGATTCGAATGCTTCTATCAAAGCCTCCCACCCAAGTTCTCGGAACCGTTTCTCCGCTTCTCGAAATGTTTTCTCAATCTCATCATCCATCATAATACTTTGCAATGATGCAGCAGCGTTTTTACTCGCGTGGTTATCCGAATCGAGGAAAAACTCGCCGGACAGAGCCGCGGAACCCATGCGCTGATGCCGCAGGGCGGGCCTTCTGGACTGCGAACATTCTCGAAAGCCATGCACCCCGTCATCTTTTTGGTGACCTTGGTCGTCGCAATCTGTACTGGGTACGTTGACTGCGGTCACAGTCCGAATGCTACTGGACGACAACTGCCTGACTAGGTTTCGATGAGAGGATGTCACTGCCAACGATGCTACCGTCGAGCTGCGACTCCGAGTCCTACTCCGCATCGACGGTCGTTTCACCGGCCGTGAGAGAGCACGCATCTGAGACGCATCATCGCTTGATTCGGACTCGCTTGTGGATGCAGGTGAAGGAGAGTCTTCGTCATCTCTCTCGTCCTCCGTCCAACTCTGCTGTCCGACCTCTTGAGATAACGGACTCGGATGAGCGGTATTGTTATTATTGCGCGAGGGCGGATACGACGTCAGAGAACTACTGCGGGATGCCTCTTCGCCTTCACTGTCGCTCTTCGTGATCTCAATGGAAATATCTGGATCTTCACCCTCGGATGAGTCTGAATCAGAGAGAGCTCCTTCTCCCGTATGTTTGTAGCTGATCTGGCTCCGAATGCTGTCACTTGGTGAGTCGCTGTATGCGCTTTTAATGCTTGGAGTCGTGAATGACGTTCTTCGATATGACGATGATAACCTTTGACGCATAGGCGGAAGGAAGCCAACATTGGATTCGCGCCGTGCTAATCGTGCAGTGGGCTGCGACAAGGAGCTAGTAGATCGGCGGGGGGATGAAGTGGTAGAAGATGCAGGAGTAATCCGCTGGGGCGAATGATTCAATCCAGGATGTTCATCGCTCCCCTTCGATAGCGATCCTGGACTCCTGTCCTTCATCTTCATGAGACTGTCAACGTCATACGACAGGGAGCGAGCCGCATGAGGGATAATTTCTGTGACTTCATGCACGGTTGGTATAGCGGCTGGAGCGGATACGGAGTGAGACAAAGGGGGGCTTGACATAAGACGCGTAAGGGAAGGAAAAATCGGCGGGGTCTCGGGCACAAGATCCGTCAATAGATTTCTCAACATCAACCAGGTTTGAGTGGCTTCGATACTGCCAGCATCCATCGACATCTACGACACTTTAGTATATGCAAATAGCTATGACAACAAACAAACCTTAGCGTTGTGCTCACAAATCTCCGTCCTTTCAGCACCCTCATATATATATGTCTGTGCTAGCTTTGCAAATGCTTCAAGATTATCCCCACAGTCCTCACTTGCAACTGTGCCGACGCTCTGGGAATCAGGAACATAAGAACTATCTCCCAGCCCTTTTATAGGGATTTGCACATCGTTCAGTCCTCGCCCCCTTTCTAGCTTCCTATATGAACACAGCCAGTAATTACACGTCGTAAGAAAGTAATTGAAAGGACTAACAAGTCATCATAGGGCGCTTCCCAACGCCTCGGATGATCTGTAACGAAGGTCAAAGATCCAGCAGCGTCCCATGAAACTGCCACCCTTGGAACTGCGTCCAGTGGTTTACTTGTTTGGCGGAGATCCAGTTGCGAGAATGTTCCAGAAGAGTGCTGCGTCCATATTGCATGAGAATCCGCAAATGCGATATCTACGTGATATGATACTTTGAGCCCCATCTGCAACATTGGCGTGAAAAACTTACCGGTAACTCCCCCTTCCATGGAGGAGTCATTTACTACCCATTTTGCGATATAGCCTCTTCTCACGTCCCATATCTCAACTGGATCACTTCTCCCATTTCGCGGGGGCGTTGGAGTCCTGAATTCCGCATGACCTCCCATATCTGCAAGCTGGAGTGTCGCGGAAGCCATTCGTGGGCTGGATAATGCACTGAGTAGCCCCGTTCCAGGGGGAATACCGGGGATGGGCGACAAATTCACTGCTGGTCCGTGTGAATCGGAATTTGAGCTCGTACCCGAGCCAAACTCCGCATTAGACACGACAGCGAGCTCACATTCATACCCTGGTCGCCAAAGAACCTTACGCACCGGGAAAGATGTACGCAATGTGTAGACTGGATGGTGAGAAATGTGCACCCTTGTCTGGGGGGCAGTCAGATCCCATACCTGTTACTCCTTGTTAGCTCATGACTTCGAAGAAATGTATAACGCCGACCTTAACACATCGATCCAGCCCTCCACTAGCCAGCCAGCCAGTACCAGTGCCTTCCATATCATTGACACTAGAATCACTCGGATTTCCAGGCCCTGGCATGATGTCGTCCAATAGACCCAGCGCAGAATTCGACCCACTGTACCAATTACTTCTTGCGCCTTGCCGTGCGACACCTGAGGATAAGGGTGCACTCGAAGAGGAAGGCGGCGACCAGTCAAGGGCCAAAATTGGGCCGGAATGGGCGGCAGGAATACGATCCAGTTGACCACGCTGGCCAACCTTTAGGTCCCACCTATCGTATATTTGTCGATTGGCGACGAAGTTTCAAATAAAGCGTAGACTGACCTGTATATGCTGCCATTGTCGAGAGCAGTGATAGCTTGTAGTGGTTGCCACTGTATCGGAGAAAATACGACTGCCCGGACGGAAGCAGGATGACGTATCCACATGATGGACTTTGTGAGGTCTCGCATGTCCTAACGAGACATAAGCGACGAGCGACGCATAGACACAATACACGACATACCCAAACACGAAGATCGCCATCTGCAGAGCCGGTTACACAGTAGTAGCCCAGGATAGGAGAATACGAGAGTGCATGGATGGAGCGTGAATGATCGCGTGTTCTTCTTTCTGCAAATAACAGCTTATACTCAGATTCGCAACGTGATTACAGTAGGGCAATAGTCGGTTACAGAGTCCAGAGCGCCAGAGAAGTGTTTTGTTGATGTTAGATAGAACACAAATACCAGCAGTGCGCCCCCTCAGCGCACTGTGGACAATTGCGTGATGGGGAGGAGAGCTTCAGAGTAAAAACTTGTGGCTTACCGAATTTTGACGAGCCAGATTTGTTTAAATCCCACATAATGAGCTCGCCATTCCGAGCGCTTGTCAGCACTTTGTTGCTGAAAACTTGTCAAGCAATGTAATAACGGATACAATACTGAAATCGGGGACGACCTACTGCCATGTCCCCAAGCTACATCTGTGCTTGCACTATCTATGTGCAACCCACTTCCGTCCCAAAAATTGCGCGACGCCTCGACACGATGACCGCCATGTCCAATCGCTGACCGATGTTCAGTCGCTGCGGTAGAGTCGCCAGACGGCCCCAATATGCGCAAGATGCGGAGCGCTGCGACAAAATGTTAATGAATTATGACACCTGTCTAGGCCCAATACGTGCATTCTTTGCCTGCGACCACGCATCTGATTCCGTCTTCGCTTTTGGCTATAGAACCTCCTCCACTGGAGGCCGCTCGCGGGAGTCGAACATGACGTATTGGCCCTTGATATCCATGCGTACGAGAGTCAGAATAAATGTTCGATGCAGAGAAATAAGAGCTTGATGTTCGGGCTTGGAGGGACGGTCGATGGGTTAGACCAGGAGTTGCAGGGAGCATAATGGTCAATATCGAAAGAGCAATCGCGACAAAAGTCCAGACCCCAGAGACGAAAAGGAGTACCAGTGGTATTGTTTATTGCATAGTGCCTTGAAGTCATAAAACAGACTCGAGACACAACGTGACCATAGGCCACCGAGACGAGAGCTCGTCCGACTCCGAGATGACTTCTTCCAAGTTAAGAGGTTAGCTTACAAATGTCGGCATATGCCGGACGCACGTTCGAACTCGCATCGAGCTTTGAAGATAAGATTTGGTGCTACAAAATAAAACGGATGTCCGACGGACACTTGGAATACTCTCCGTCTGACAATGCCGCCGGAAATTTCAGCTTGCGCCCTTAGCGCAGATTCTCATGCAGGTGCACTTCTTCTCTTGGAGCCATAATTGTTGAAGGATACTAGATGTTCTCGCCGGTTGAAGAAATATCAAGTCCGAGGTGAGGATGCTACTGTGGATCATCTCTGTTGTCCAATTCAAGCCTTCAGTGTTTTTACAGTCACATCATGTCTCCAAACCATGACATTCTGGAGAAGACTATTCTCCACAATCGCAAGCTAAATCGGTGGGCTGATGTTCTGGCTAGCGAGCAACATCGCATTACCACTGCGGCGGTGGAGGCTAGTGCCAGCTTTCAAGTTGACAAGACTGCCCGAATTGTCACTGCTCCTGTAAACAGGCTCCCGAATGAAATCCTGACAGAAGTAATGGTCATCGCCAGGGATTTAGACACGACCTCGCCTATGAAATGGATTGCGCTCACTCATGTCTGCCGTCACTGGCGCGAAATGGCGCTCGCGACCCCCATGTTATGGTCCACGATTCACGCGAGGGTCAGTCTCCCGTACCTCTGCGCTAGCCTAGAGCGTGCCGCGGATGCGCTAGTATCCCTTTCTATTTACGATACCCGACCCGCAGTGACAAAGGTTATTCAAGCAAACGCCGTGCGGATCGTTAGCCTTACCACCTATACTTACTGTCTCCAACTCTTGGCCATCTTCATGCCCAGGTTACAGAAACTCGAACTCCACGGGAATGGCCATCCATATATTTTGCTTCATTCGAGAAACGAACACCTCCCACAGCTTCGTACACTTCTTCTGGATTCATTGTCGTTGCCCCTTTCAAGCCCATGGTTGAAGAAGCTGACACGGCTTGAGTTGTCCCGTCACCCACATTATCTTATTGAAACCAATTTCACTGAGTTTCTCAATGCCCTCAATTCATGCGTCGACTTGGAGATTTTAAAGATTGACCAACGAAGTGGTGATCACCCAGGGTTCACGGACGATCTCCCCTCTTCAAACGTTGCCTTTCTTCCAAAGTTACGCATTCTTGGCCTCATAGGCAAGATTGACGATCTCAATATCCTACTCCGCCATCTCGTCTTTCCGCCCACCATATACATTCAGCTTGAAGGGGCAGCAAATTATTACTGGGACGAAGAGGCAGGGCCGACAGTCGCGGTCGTGCTTCCGCCCACTCCAACGCTGTCTTCGCTATTGAAGACTGCATCTACCCTTGAGTTGACTGCGTCCAGCAACTTAGAATTGCAAGCTTGGCGCCATGAGGAGACGGAGCCTATGTGCAGCACGAGAATCGAAATGGCCGAATGGGGCCCAAGTGGCTCCACATTATTCCAGACTTCCCTCTTCGAAGTTGTTCACCTCTTTTCGGATGCACAGGTAAAGTGCCTGGCTCTCGCCGGTCCCCAGGCTCTGCTCCATATCGATGCCTGGACTCAAATATTCTCTACGTTTCCCACGCTTACGCGGCTGGAGCTTCACGGCAATGGGTGTATTGGTGATTTCATTCAAATATTTGGTGCACGCGCAGGAGAATCCTTGGTATGCCCAGGACTGGTGTCACTCAAGTTGGGGTACCTTTTGACATATGAAGCATCGGACCTGGCGCGTGCGCTCGCGTCTCGTATCGAGAGGGGGAGGAAACTTTACTGCCTACAAATTGTCCAAGGCGCAATCTGCGGTGCTGCAACATTAATCCTACCCACCCTCGCAGAAGTGGTTGATGCAGTAGAAATTGTTCACACATGAGGAGGATTTTGCCGAATATATTAGTCTCTATTATGTTCCATATGAGATTGTAGGTCAGTATCTCTAATGTGGGCAAACGATATTCGTGAACTTCACAACTAACGCATTCGCTGTCTCAAAGGGGTGTCAATAGCTATCAGTGCGTCTGCAGCCGTATGTATGTATTTATGCGTTACTCCTTTGCTACTCTCGCACGAACGATCCGCAGCCTTGGCTTGTCTCCTTCGGTGACCTCCACGTTTCAATCGTTTCCAAAAATGAAAGTGGTTGTATGGTATCTAAACCTGCTTTGATGGTGCGAGGATTATCCTGACTATATATAGGTCAAATTTTTATGGAGATTGTGGTGCCATGATTTGGAGCACCAACGATGAAGCGAGAATGAATGTCAGCTTAGCTTTGAGCTAGGCTTCGAAATGTGCTCAATGGACGCTTTACGAAGTCAGGTGAGCTCGACGAAGCAGGTCATGGTCTATTGTGATCTCCTCAGCTCAGAGTAGATACTTCCTTCAGCCTTCCGATATCCATACAGTGAGGACCGAACACCCTCCGGCGCTTGCCCTGTCACTATCTTGAATGGAGGTACGGAGGTATAGCGCTCATGGCACGTTCATGGGGTTTCCGCAGTCAGTGTGCTCCGCTTGACTACCACCTTTGGGGATCTGATTGACCATGGTGCGTACTTTGAATATGTTCCTGACGGCAATTTCGAAGACAAAACTTTGGAAGACGTCCAAATTCACAGTGAATGGAAGGGAGAGGCTTTATACGCCCAAGGACACCAAACTACCAATGATATCGACAACATCCACGCCAGACGAAGACGAAATCCTTGTCAGAATGACAAGATTGGAATAGGCGAAGATGTTCATGTGTGGAGGTATGTTCTTGTATTCTGATGTGATTTTCTCGCTTCGGACCAGACGCGAGAGCGGAGTTATCAGCGATGTCTATGAACATTGCACTACTTGCTCTGGTGCTCAAATTTTTTACTACATCCGTGCTCGCGGTTCAATGGTAGCGGTGCTCGTGATCAGCGGTCCCCGAGTCCAGGAGGACAATATGACACCTTTTCCACAATATGCCCGCTCATACGACTTCGATCCAAACACTTCGATGCAAATGTGCATTTCATTGCTGTCTTGATTCTAAATTAAGGCCGAGCCACCTTGTGAGTCACTGCTATAAGCCAGCCCGGCGATGCCCATGGTATTTTCAGCGCCCACCACTGTGTCTTGCCAAACTCAGAGCCTTGCCGCACGCACCCTCGAACGTTGTTCAACGGAGAAGCCATCTGCTCTGGCTTCAAGCGTTAAATGAAATGACTTTCATGGCAAACTCTCACCAGCGTGTCCACTTACGTCACGCAGGTACCGGAAAGTTTACTACTTCGATAATCATCATCTCTGAATTGTTCGTGTAAGAACCATTTGTACGAACATCTCGGCCACCTTCCAATCGATTGGGGAACGGTGAGAGACTATTCTGGACACCTTCATCTAGTGAGCCCGACGAGAATCCAAGCATTCTGATGAGAATAAGATGGACTGACTCGCACCCGAATTCTTGAAGCTGAGAAGCTTGGAATTGCCAGAACTGACTGCCAAGAACATATCATGGGGCCTCAGAATACAATCAACGTGCTGCCGCAACCTGAAGTCCCGTACCACGAATTTGAGCGTACTCGAAAGGGCCACCTTTATTCACAAGCATCCTCCTAAATGGCGCGATCGATATCTTCATTGGCTAGACGGCCAGCAGCATGCATTCAGCGTACATATAAAAACCCGGGCCTAGCTCATCTGTCGTCAGTTCACTCATCGTCCACAAAGACAATCATAAAGTACGAGACTCGTCCTTTAAGCCACTTCAAATTTTGACAACCCAGTTTTTTGCTAGGCATGTCAGTCAACCCTTACGTCATCAACTACTTCTCCAACGACGGGCGTCGCCAAATGTCGACGTTCATCGACCCGTCCAGCAAGGGCCAGTTTATCCAATACTTGACTGGTCTTTCGTCGCTGCAGAACGGCGATTGGTACGAGCTCTCCTCGAGCACCATCGTTGACGATGCCATCAGTAGGACTGGTCAGCTCGGAGGGGTGGTGTACAACTTGCCTGTTCGGTGAACGTGTAAGCTAATGTCTCGTCGGGAACGGGTGGCTTGGATAACTGACGAAATTGTAGGCTGTCGTTGACATCACAATATGTCCGAAGCTCAATTCCAAGCAGTCCATTTCCAATAGTATTCTCTGGCACAAAAAAATCCAATAAAACCCTTGAGAAGATGGATTTCATCGGACGTGGATGATGAGGCATGATGTTCGTTTATGCACTCAATCTCCCCGACAGTTGTCGTTCGGTGTATTTCCTAGTATGGTATCTTGTTTGTCATGTACTTTTACTTGTGCCAAATTGTGAACGTGTTGAATATCGTAACCCTGGTCGCAAGGTCATCCGCCTGAAATTGAGTGCGTATTGCATTCCCTCTAGCGAAGGCTACAACTAGTATCGTGGGTCCGGGCCACTTGGAAGTTGGGGACGGGGTTAACGCTAATCTCCCAGCAGGTTTGTGTAGCATTTCGAACTCCGCTGTGGCTGCGGTGGCGCAGCATTGTCTGGCCGTGCCCACTGGCAAGTCTCTCTGTGGCTCGCAACTAGTTTAGAGGGTACTTCGTTGTAGTGGGACTTCCGCTATGTATCGTATCTTCTCCTAGGTCTCAGTATGCCGGATGTCGTCCAAGGTATCTGTCACCCTGATGTTGCAATGTAACGTGTTGAGTCACGCTCCTTCAAAGTCCCCCACTTACAGTACCGGTCCGGATCCCTGTCGGTCGAGTTCTGCCGTAGAGCGCTTAAAGCTAGCGGTAACCTTCCATCGAATGTGGTGAGGAACTTTGTAATGCTTATCTTTCGCTACTGACGAGGCTATAGGCTACGGCAGTATCGTACCGAGACGTGCCGAAGATGCCGACACGTCTGGGGACGAAACCAATCTACGGCTATATTGAGGGTAGAACGGGCAAGATTGGACTTGATGGCTTAGACCAGGATATCTCAGACGGTGGCTGCGGGCATATGGACTCTTGGATGGGGATCACCAGCTGCGGCCCTCCGAAACTGCGGATGTCCTGGCTTGCCAGCGCCCGGCAACGACCTGGCATATCTTCGCACAGTCCCCGCATATATATGAGCTAGGCTTGCGAGCTGTGGTGTCACTGTCAGTTTGGCGTTGTTATCTCCACATCGGTGTGGGTGGGTCTTAGTATGAACAACCCAGGCAAGCGCTCGGACGATTATGACGATGACTTCACGACTGTACGCCTCAGTCGCCAGCAAGGATGGAGATCTCGGACCTCCGTGAAGCTGATTTGCTTGCTGTCTGCTCTCCTGGCCATTCGGGCGTTTTGCTGGTCGGGCCTGAAGAATTTCGTTATATCCCACGCCGATGCATTTCCCGAGCAATTGACAGACCCTATTTTCGACTGGGATTCGGTACGTTCTGATTCCAGAGATCCGCACATAGACCCTGAGCTTCTCGGAAATCCATCCATAGATCACGCCTTCCGTCGACATCGAATGGAAGCCGTGTTTCACTGACTTTCAGTGTGCGCGGTTGATTCTCCCTCTTGACTATCTCTCCCCGTCTGGTGTCGGACCGAATGTGACCATCGCGCTCCAAATGCTTCCTGCAGCAGACAAAGGGAATGCCAAAGGGACCATATTTATTAACCCTGGCGGACCCGGGGGCTCAGGAACTGGGTTCGTGTTAGCTGCTGGGAAGAACATGTCCCAAGTCGTTGGCAGGTCGTTCAATATTTTGGGTTTCGACCCGCGTGGCACAGGCGCCAGCACGCCGTCTGCTCAATGCTTCGTCTCGGACTCACAGTATAAGGCCTGGAAACTGCAAGCGGGCGATAGAGTCCTCAACTTGACCGATGGGTCCGTTGGTTTAGCGCTTGCGCGTGAAAGGGCGGTTGGAGCTATGTGCAAAACGATCTTGGCAGGAAACGGAAAGGAGGATCCCGATGGGACCGTGGATGAATGGGGTGCGGGTAGATTTATGAACACAGAAAGTGTTGCGACGGACATGCTCCGAATCACTGAGAAACTCGGTGAGGACCGCTTGAAATACTGGGGATTCGTAAGTTCTTTGACATGAGATGCACAAAGTCCCTGAAGTTTACTAACTTTCATCAGAGCTACGGCTCAGTCCTTGGCCAGTATTTCGCCGCAATGTATCCAGATAAGGTTGGGCGGCTGATCATTGACGGGGTCTACGACGGATACAACTATCGCAATACATCATGGAACTCGAATCTAGCGGACGCGGACGCCGTTTGGGAGTCGTTTTTCACCTTCTGCAACCGGGCTGGACCAGAGAAGTGTAGCTTGTACATGCCCAGCGTAGCGGAGGTCAAGGATCGAGTTCTCGCCATTATGGATCATGTCGGCGAAGAACCTTTCCCCGTACCTTTTGCAGGGAGTGGTCCGCTCATCGTGACGAGGAAAGCACTCCATAACTTTGCCTTCCAGGCCCTCTACCGTCCAATCCGTCAATTCTCTTCTTTCGCCGATGCCCTGTTAGCTGTAGAGCGATCTAACCAAACCATCTTAGCGGAGCTTTCGAAAGAACTTGGCGGAGGCTACGAATGTAACTGCGAACGAGAGCTCCCGTGGCTTGTGAAGACAGAAGCAACTTCTGCCATCATGTGCGGAGACGGAGAGCCCATAACGCACTCTCCAAAAGAGTTCCAGGAGTGGTTTTCCGGCTTGTCTGCATCGTCCCAGTTTGCGTCGCCGATCTGGGGCCTACAATATCTGCGGTGCGCAGGGTGGCAAATTCGACCAAAGTGGCGATACACGGGCCCGCTCGCGGCTGAGAACACGTCTCATCCGATCCTGGTTGTCTCCCCCATGTACGACCCTGTATGTCCGTTGAGCGATGCCCGTGCAGTGCGTGCTCGATACGGCGGCGCGGGATTGCTGATACAAAATTCGTTCGGGCACTGCTCCCGGTCGGCGCCGTCACTGTGTACGGCAAAGTACGTGAGAGAGTACTTTGTGAATGGGACGCTTCCAGAGGAAGAGACTGTTTGCGAGGTGGACGAACTGCCCTTCGTGGGCCCGGCTGCTGAAGGCTGGGAGAAGCTTAGTAGATATTCCGACGAGGACAGGAGTTTAATGGAGGCTCTGCGAGGATTGGCTGTGTCTGTGCCAATTTCTGGATTCATTTGACTGGCAATGACCGCGTAGTTCATTTCTGTATTATGGATTGCTGGAAGGGCACTGAGTGTGCGCTACTTTCCCCGAGATTTCTATTTTGCTGAACATGGATATCGATAGCATTACTATAGCTGTTGGAAGTACTGTGTGCACGGTGTACTCAGGCTAGGATCCATAACACACCGAAATGGGCTGGCGGACGCAGCCGGACTATCAACGTGCCATGCATTAGAGGCGATCTAATAAAACATACATCGTTTGCAACCGTTTTGTGTGATGTCGCCAACCTCCCAGTGGATTGATGTACATGCCAGTGGTTGTTTTCGGTAAACAATCTGTGCTCTCATCCCATTCAAACTTCGCTCCACTAGTCTTCACCCGCCGGTTTACCTGGAAACCTCACTAAGGGATTCCTTGACGAGAGCGTACCCCATGGATTTGATGTCAAGCTACAATCCGAGCCCGTTACGGTCATGATAGTGAACAATGGGCATGTCTATTTACATCGCACATCGTACATGAAATAATAAACCTGTCTTCTAAGATTAATATACAGTACGCGAGGTCATCGCGCTTACAGCGGCGACCTGGATATTCAGCAGCGTTGTCATCTTCTGTCAGAGTCGCGGATACACGTTCGCCAACATCTCATCGTCTGGGTCTCCTCCGAGCACAAGACCGTTTAGGATGCCAGCAAGACGTATGCCAGCCATGGCAAGGAGGCGCTCGACGACCCATTGTGCGCGTATGTGCCCAGCATATGCCGGGGTATCCAGCTCCAAGAGGTCGGGATGCGGTCGTGGACGTCCCGCCATCGCTGCACCGACGTCGTCGTCATGGGCACATCCCGAGTGGCTGTCTAGTTCCGGATCGGCTGCCCCAGAGGAATGCTGAACGCTCAGCTCTGCTGGCCAGACGGGCAGCGCACAGTTGAGCTCGTGAATCTCGCGCGCCCACGCGTACGGGCATAGAACGCCATCGTCCCATTGCTTCTCGTCCCCGATTGTTGATCTGAACGAGCCCCAGCTGCGCTTCGCGTTGCTCACATGAGTCCCGTCGGGGAACTTTGGCCGCATAGCCTGATGCCTCTTCTCAATAATAGCATCGTCCCGCCTGCCCAGTCCAAGCACGTTTTGTATGCTCTGGAAGACTGCTGAAAGCAATCCCCCCGGTGATGCGACTTCTGGAGCTTCGTCGGCAGGACAGCTGAGCCACTCGTCGACACCATCAAAGCGGCCAGCACCCGTAGAGGCACCAGCCCCAACGCCGAAACCCTCGTGCATGATGCGGCGAATATATGAGTCATAGATCGTACCGCGCAAATGCGCCTCGACGCCCGGTGCGTCTGCCAGCGGACGCGAGTAGTTTGCCGGGATGGTGCGCAAGGCCTGCGCGATCAGCAAGCCATCCCAGACACTATGAAGGTCTGTAATGATGGACTCACAATCAGCAACACAATTTGTCGGGGGCAAGAAGATACGCACTCGTTACGCGTCCGTCAAAGGTCACCTTTGCCCCGTTCCCGCCCCGTTCCTTGCCTGTCAAATGGAGCGGCATGTGCATGTCACCGACAAAGTGCACCAAGAACTTCAACGCGACTTCGCCATCCGTTATACTGCGCTCGCCACTCAGAGCCTCAGCGAGCACCGCGGTCTTGTTACCGACCGCGGCGAGCACATTTATATTGTGTCGTCCTGCCCATCCTCGAGGACCGGGGAACTCGCAAGCATCGCCAGGCGAGTCATCTATCGCGCCTACGTAATGGAGGGGCGCTGTCCACCGGTATGCAGGGCTACCGCGCACACGGTCGGCCCAAGCTGCAATCGGAGCGAGGTGACACGGGGGTCCAGCGGACGAGCTGGATGATCCTGGATGCAGTATATCACAAAGAACAGGGAGGACCGCTGGATGCAAATGAATCTGGGCAATTGTTGCAACAATTTCATGCCCTGCCGCACCCCAACCTAGCGCCCCAGGAAGGGAGGCGACAGCGAGAGATACAGCGAAGGCGACGGACAGGTGGGCCTTCATGAGTGGTCGGACGATGGGGAGGCGAAGTGCACGCAGACAAGTAGAAGGGGTATATGTAGCCCTCCGTCCGGCGAGACGCCAGCGGTAGACGGGGCAACGGAAACAAAACCAGCCAGAACGGACAACGGAGAACTAGCAGACAAGCAGACACAGCCGCCAGTGGAAGCAAATTACGATAAGATAAGACACTCTGAGATCGATCGATACTTCATATTGGCTATGATGCTACCGCGCAAAGTGTGGAATTCAGTTGGTGCGGGATCTCAAGTTGGCGATAATAATGCCAGCTTAATGATCTCCAAAATAACAATATACCACCATATATCCGTACACTATCTCAATACACCCGATCTTGCTATACATGTATCCCTCTATCTCAAAGATACGTAAACGCACGACTATCATATCTCTTCGTATGGCGCTGGCGCACCCCGGCCAGCAAGGATCATCTCGTCCACTATCTCATCGTGTTCCGTGCGTTTGTATGTGCGGATGGTCTCTCCATAGTCCGAGATGTCGTACACGCGGAAGCGGCGGTCGAACACGACTCTGCCATATCCCGAATACGAACTACATATCGATATAAAGCATGGGAAGTCAGCGAAAGACCAAGAGGGCGGAGTCCACCCAGACAATGAAGGAAGAGTCGAGGAAGTCGAGCAGACTTACCCTCCACCGCCGAAGCACAGCCAGACACCCTTGACACGCTTGCAGTTCTCCGTAACTGCAACCGTATATATATCAGCTTGGTCCGCACTTCGAGGGGGGGGGGAACTAACCATGGCAGTGGCCGTTCGTCACAACTTTGATCTCGTGAGCGTTTCCCGCGGCAACGTGGTCGCTCTCCATCGCCTGCAATATCCCCTTGTGGAAGAATCCCTCTTGCTGCTTCGCCGCCCCCGAGCCCTCCAAGTCGTTCTCTCCCACATTCAGCTCCTGAGACGTGATCGGGTCGATGTCTGCGGCAGCGTAGCTTTCCTGGCTGTACGCAGCCGTTGTTAGCAATCACATCGGCGATATCGGAGAGAATGAGTACATACAGAGGGATGTGGAAGAACATGAGCGCGTTTGGTTTCGCTAAGCGACGAGGAGGCGCCATCTGGCTTCCATCTTGACGCCCCCAAATGTGCCCAAAGTCCTTCGCGCCATCCGGAATGAATGGTCGTTCGATTGGGTCAATGGCGGCTAAGACGTGGGTGAGCGATAGTTCTCAAAAAATTGCGTCTATACCATACTTACACGACTCTTGCAAAAACCAATCAGTTTGGTCCTATGTTACGAGTTGGTAAGCTGTGTGATCAAGTGCCAGATGATTCACCTCACCTGATGGATCCAGTCGTATTCCGTTGGGACGAAGAATCCAAACCAACTGAGAGCTCCTTTAGAATATGCTCCTGAGTCGAGGAAGTACAAGGTTAACAAGTGCGTCATCGACCTACAAAGCACCAGAAATTGATCAGTTCCACGAGATTGAAGCTGATTCCTCAGACTACTTACGCGTCAGCGCTCTTAACCTTCAGTACATAATTCCCCACGCCGTGAATATCCTTCGGACCCTCCTGCACGAGGCTATACGGCAGCCCCTGCATATATTTAATTTGATGCTCTCGCGACGCACCATCCTCATCGTCGTGGTTGCCAAACACTGCGGCCCATGGGATCTGACGGTCCGTCACTACACGGGCAAATTTCGCGAGCACAGAGCGCGAATCCCAGGCTGTACCCTGTCCGTTCAACTGGTCCCCACTGAAGACCACGAGATCTGGGCGCTCCATGTCGAGCATACGCGCGAGCAGCGTAGATGTCAAGTTGTCAGAGTTGCTGCATGGTGCGAGCGGGGTATCCCGGCATGCCCCTGCAGAAACAGAGAAGTGCAGGTCTGCGACCTGCATGATCTTGAAACGTCCATCATGCGAGAAATGAAGCGGCGGGGCCTGTGGGGGGACTGACAGGGTTGGTAACGTCAGAAATGGCATATATGCAGGCTGAACGCGTCGGGAGACATACCCTTAACCCCTTTACGATAGGTCACCCAGACACTCTCCCTTCTAATAATCGGCTTTGCTTCTAGAACAGGTCGGTCGACCCTCTCGAATCCGTACCACGGTTTATCATCACCAAAGAGGATATCAATCTCTGTGATAAGGTCGTTCTGCCGCTCCGCTGGGGTCATCTGCAAGAGCGTCTTCTCGGTCTTGTACCAGAGGTACAAGGGACTTCCAGATGGGCTAACAGGTTGTTCTACCCTATGCCAAGCAGGACTGAAGGGAGAAGGGCTCTCGCTGTCCCGCATGATGCGCAACTCCGTTACTAGTGGGATATCGTGCCTACGCGTGCGGCGGTAGTAAATATTCTGTTGAAAGAGACAGTTGGTACGGGATTGTAGCGATATAAGGGGTGACCAACGAACTAGACTCATCATCATACCAGACTGCACATTCAAGTTTCGCGGAATGCGGACCCATTTACCATTGTATGCATCATCCTCCTTGGTCGTAGATGGTGCGCAGAAGTCGCCGGCAAGGACCTCGGCAAACCATGGGTCTATAAAGCACTTCGTAATCACAATTTCTGATACTGTAAAACAAAGACGTTAGTATTACGCATGTATGTGGAAAATGTAGCGGAAACTCGATCTCATTATGGTCAAGAATGTGCATCCGACATATGCTATGCATGACCTGCACTCACTAGCCCGGACCGGTATATCAGGAATGAGAGAAGCACGGGCTCAGACCATTTCGAATGAAATAAAAGCGCACTCGGAAGTGCACTTAGTTAGGGGGGGAAAGCCCAGCCGTGACATATGATCAGATTCGGGCGTTGCATTGCTAAAGACAATGCATTCATAACATGCACTGTATGGAGCAGATACATCGTAATCCAAAAGATCAAACTCACAGCCTGTAGCATGAGGTAACATAGGATCCCATTCATCCAGAGGCAGACTGGCTGAGTCCATGGTCTGCGGAGTTGAAGTGGTCACATTCCACCAGTCGACGTCCTCGGACTGAGAGGGCGTCCCTACGACAGGCGCACCCCCGCCAGTGTTGACACTTGCATCAGTGGCGCTTCCACCAACATTATCGTATATCACCTCCCAAGATTGCCAGCCGACTCGCTGTTTGGCACCAGGCCCGGCATTAGGTTGGTACAGGATGAAGATAAAGGTAAGCAAGCAGCAGAATCCGACGAACACCGCTGCAGGAGAAAATATCGACCTCAGAAAGCGACCGACTCGAAATAGGGAAAATGCCATGGCGCGAAGCCAATATCGCTGCGTACAAGGTTCGCAGCTGAGTGTCTTCTGGCCGGAAGCAAGCTCGTAAGAATGGCGGAGCGACGGCGGCGACCCGCCACCACATACATAAAGCCAAATAATATACATGCCATTTTCGGTAGTCATATCTCGACACGTCTATGCTGCAAAACAAACTCCAGGTCCTCGGTCGGCTGTAATTGCTACTGCAATGCAGCACTGTCTTCGTCGCCTCTACTCGACAATCCCCGAGGCGGCAGCTGTCGCTAGGACAGCGTCTACGCCGAGGGCTGTCCGTCTTCGTCGCCTCCGACTTCACAAGCGAAAGCATGCAGAATTGCCTGTCGAATCTGACGCGACTCCCGAAGGCCTCACACCTACTGAACTCGCGCGGTACAAGCGTGAGCTTGCGAAGGGGAATTTGATGCAGAAGGACGGCCGTGACTTGTCGGAGAAGGAATGGCTGGACCGGCTCGACGCGCGACGAAGTCGGGTACGCGGTGTGCGCGAGGTTGTGACTGAGGACGGTCAGAAGGAAGAGCAGGTCGTCGGGCAGAAGGTATACCTCCCGAACATCCTCTTCCGCTTGGTGCGCAATCACACGCCTCCGGGCCAGCCGTACAACCCGTACGAGGCCACGTTCCGCATTCCCCAGTCTGTGACCAAGACGGACGTGCGCTCATACCTCCTCGCTGCATACGGTGTCAAGACGACGTATATTCGCACCGACAACTATCTCGCACCACTCCTACGGGACCCCCATGACTACTCCTTCAAGAGGACAACACGCATGACGTACAAGCGTGCAGTTGTCGGCCTTGTCGAGCCGTTCTACTACCCACAAGCCATTGAAGACATGAACAAGCAGCAGCGCGAGGAGCGGTTGGCATGGCTGGAGCGCAGCTTCAGGATAAATTACTACCAGGACTTGAGGCAGGGAGCACTCATTCGAATGTCGAGGGCGGGTAGCAAGGGCTGGAAGTGGCGGACGGGTGCAACAGCAAACAGAGGGAATATCCTCCGCATTATTGCAGAGCGGAGAGCGGCCAGAGAGCGCACCATTCTTGAGACAAAAAACAAGATCCAGGAGAGCAGGACGCCGACGAGCGAGGTCGCTACCGCTTAGCTGGTCTTTACACTACCTATCGCACTCCCTAATGTCCAGTGCTTTTGTTGTGCTTTTCGTGAACTGTTACCTGTTTCCGTTTGTTAGAATCAACTCATTTTGCAAAGCGGTCGTGCACGACATAGGTTGAACGTTGATGTTCAATATCATTGAATACGACGCGGCGTGCGCCTAAGTATGTTTCGCCACCTGCGTTCACCACTCGTGTCGCTATGTCGTACAACTACCCGACCACTCTCCCTCTCTCGACCAAGGACAGTACATTATACCGTGCATAAAGCACCATGGATCCCTACCTTTCCGTCATTCAGGCAGCAGATCGCGCGGACCAAGCAGCTTCCATCGTTCACCGAGAAAGTGAGAGCGCCGTCAGTCAAGAACCAAGTTCTGGTCAGTGGCATAAGTCCATTGTACATACAAAACGGCAGTGTACTCAATGAATGAGCAGTTTTTTGCCTTTGGGTCTGTTCTCGTGTTTTGCGTTACAGCAAGGCTCACAAATACCGACACCTACGAATGGTCGAACAAGCTCTCTTCCTCTGCCCCTGCGTGGAAATTTAGGCCTCCAACAAATGATGAGATGAGAAGAGCAAGGTACTACACTCTAGGAAAGGTGCATATGCTTTTTGCATCTACGTTGCACTTCTACGAGAACTGTGCGAATTTGACGTATAGGTCTTACAAGAACACCTAGCGCACATCAAGGATGCCGTAGAAGAGTGGCCCCAGACGATCAAGGCAATGGTGGTTTGGTCGTATATTCAGATCGCCCAGCCCATCCTTGATACGACTGAAGGGCGGCGCGTGTGCTGGGCTATCGGCGCGGTCAATGGGATGCTTTATCTCGCATGGCAGTTCCCCCGTACGCGGGCTATCATGCAAACTAGTTTTTTGCACAGCCCGCTTTCGGGACGGTCTTATACGATGTTGACGAGTCTGTTCAGGTGCAGTCGATGATTATAATTATGAATAATGTGCTGATGTCTGTGCAGCCATAGGTCTCTAGCGCATGTAGTACTGGGGTCGATGGCACTGGCTTCCTTCGGTGCGTAAGCTGTTTATCTACGCTATACTGCTATTGCTAAGCTTCCGCAGGCTCCGCCACGTCTCAATGTCTCTTTGAAAAGCATAGTAAAGACCCCGAAAATCTTCGGGAAGCTTCTCCCAAATGGCACTTTGTTGCATTCTTCGTTTCCGGTGTGTTCGGATATGCTTTATTGTCGATCAACTTTTAAAACTTGTGTCGTAGCCGGGCTCTTCGCTAACCTTGTCTCACACGTCGCTGCTTCACGCATAACATTCCCTCGCCTTGTCTCCCGTCTCAGAAAGCTTCCTACCTCGTCCATAACGCCTCTCACTTCTGCGTCCACTCCACCGGCGAAAGGGTTCATCGGCTGGATGTCATCATTGCGTGCAAGCCCCAATACCACCGAGGCTGCTGCGAAGATTCCGGTTTCGCTGGGTGCTTCTGGTGCCGTATACGCTACGTTGACGTTCGTAGCCCTCGCATACCCTGACACAGACTTGGCCACAAAAATACCGCCAACCTTCCCAATACCAATTCAATGGGGCTTGTGTTCCTTGCTCGTGCTAGATGTCATGGGCATTTGGCGGGGCTGGAGGTCAGTTTTCTTTATAACGAACATGATGGCGTGTCGCTATAATATGCGTCGTGTACAGGTTGTTCAATCATTGGGCGCACCTCGGGGGTGCCGCATTTGGAGCGTTCTACTGGGAATATGGCACTATTATCTGGGAGGTGTTCAGAGAACTCACATTGGGCTCGCTGCCATCGTCACTGTGTAATCTAAATGTCGAAGGCGAAGAGGAGGAATAATAGAATATTGACTTTATAATCATATAGATACGCATCCGTGGGGGATCAATAAATGGTGTGGCGGCTCTAATTATTGAGGGATCTGACAATTGCGAGCCATCCAAATGGAATTATCCATTTACTCAGATTACAGCGGTCATTGTCCTGCTACTCGAGTAGTACCTTAGAATGGTGCGGCGAGTATGGATCTTGCTATATTGTAGAAACTGATGTCATTGGAATATTCTGATTGTGCTGCAGTCTTGATCACTCTCGCTGCGCTTACTTACCTCGTATCTATAAAGCATCCACCTTTCCCCCTCAAGCTTAGGCGACGAACAAGTACTAGTACTAGCAGTAAGTGAGCACTCGACCTAGTAGTGGTAGCAGTAACGAGCCTCCGCTTTGAACAGGTGCCAACAAAGGCCTCCCTCCGTGAAAGTCGGAACACTAGTAAAGCCATGAATCGGCCATATTACTTGTTGACACTAGGTGTCCTAGACAGCGAACTGGTTGAGGTAGAAATAATATCTTCCCCTCGAATTGGACGAAATTCGAAGCTGGAATCTGCCATTCCGAGTGATCATAAAGGAAAAAGGAAGCAGTCGGAAATGAGTGATGGGAGGCGCAAATTCTGTCCTGTTTAGGCTTCTGTTGATTCATTTGGTATCGTAGATTCGACTCGCCATACGCTTACCGACCGGTACATCGATGCCACGTGGGTATGCACCGGTGGTGTCGGCGGAGAAAAACGCCGCATCGTTATCACTCCTTCAGTTCATTACCGTATTACCCTAGGCACCGTCGGATATCCTCTCCACACGTTTAGGGGTACGGAGGAGTTGTTACACTCCACTCATAATGGCTATCAAGGTTTGTGTCTCGCCGCCTTGAGTTGAAGTCATCTTTTACCACGATGCGCAGCGATGCTAGGCGCGTATGACTTGGCCTGCAGATTACATCGCGATATCAGTCTCGGCAATATCCTTCTGTATCGGGATAACGAGGTTAGCGTCAGACGTGGCATTCTGATCGACTGGGAACTCTCGTGTCCGATAGATAGAGAAAGACGCGCCCGTAAGCACGAACGAACGGTAGGGCGTTAACTTCTGTCATGCATGTCGTTGTCTTACACTACTGCGTCAGGGAACCTGGCAATTTATGTCAGTCAACCTTTTAGATGTTCGCACACCCACGGTTCATACTCTCCAAGATGACATGGAATCGATAATGTATGTTGTCCTATTCTGTGGTATTCAATGGGGACCCCACGACACGTCCCCTGATCTCGTGGTCGACATTATTCGTGACATGTTTGATAGTGGCAACGACATCCGAGGCGGTGGCATTGCCAAGCGAGCCAACAAGTTCGATCGAGTACATACCCGAGAGTTTGTGTTCAAGAGCCATGGACTGCACAGATGGTTGAACACGGCTAGGGAGTATAACTCTCCTTTGAAAGATATCAACAGAGGAGAATGGACGGACCCATCGCACCTCAATAACTTATGGAACGATGTTTTGAAGGAGCAGTTGGAGAAGAACGATAGGATGGATCACAGATCAATCAAAAGCGATCTGCCTGGAGGTCCACAACAACCTATGAATGTAACGGGGTCGTACTCAAACTTCAGCTCCAATCGAGAAGCACAGGAATCGGTAAACAGCGCTAGCTTGGCACGGAAACGTGCTCGCATTGGTGCACACTTTGGACAGGATGTCTCTGCTAATGGCGAAGGGTCGAAAAGGAGACGAATAACGCGTTCTATGTCACGCGGGAATCTCGTAGGACATGCATCGTCAGCTGAAGCACGACCTGTATCTTCGTTGAAGCGATCTACCCGCAATAGTGGCCGACCTGGACGTTCAAATTCGAATTCTGAAGGCACGTCTTCCATGCGCCACAATGAACAGACATTTTTAACAAGTCTGAGATCCGGTAAACGTCGCTCGAGGAAAGGAGATGATTAGGGTAGAGAATATGTTGGATCTGTTAAATGGTCCTCCTCTTTTCATATTGTTTCCTTAGCCATGCCCGTCAACACCAAGCTGAAGTTATCATTCAATGCTCCTGTTGCAAAGATGGGACGTCACTGAGACTAGACGAAATGCATGTTCAAGCGTCCATGATTTGTGGCTTCTTGTGGGTGCTTTTAAGAGATAGCCTTGAACCGATGACTCTCACGTTACAATACATTTATTATATAGTCACTCAACACACCACGGAAAAAATGAGCTAAGCGATGAAATGTTCAAGTTGAACAACTTTCAAGTGACAAGCCGGACCAGGTCACCAGGAATCATCGCACGTGACATACGTGATTGAGACGCGCCGCTGTGCATCAGATTTACCGAAGCTGGCCACCGACTTGTTCATTCAAGTTGAGTCCATGTGGGCTGTGGACCGTGGCAGATCGGCCACAATCGCGGACAATTATAAACTCCATCGACTCCTAACCATGACTTCAACTACCACATTCACGAGGGCAAATAGGCGCAAGGTAAAGGCTCGGCCCCCCCCTCTCGCGGACAGATTCAAGAATGTCCCATGTTGCGACCTTGTCTCCCTAAATCACTCCTCCAGTTACGCCTTGAAATAAAATACAATGCCACCATATAATGCTCCTATTGCCAAAAATGCGAATGGCAGTCAACGGTTTGGATTCGATTCAAAGCACGCAGACGCACGAGGTCAACGACACGCTGCAGAGACACATACGTTCCTAGGACCGATGCCGGTGCAAGATTTCTTGAACGCGTTCCTTCCCAAGTGCGCCAAGAAAAGCATGCCATCTAGCAAGGGTGCGTTTAAAGACATTCCAGAAGCGGCTTCTGATGAACGGGATATCTACGCACCGCTGGTAAATGAATTCAGTGTTACCTCAGTTTTTTTGTACTCAGCACATCAATTGTAGGTCTATGCGCTAAATGCGGATGGAAAGAGGAAAAGATCTCGATGCCCCGGCTTTATATTCGACATAACGACTACAAGAGGCGAATCAAATGCGACGGGTTCGATGCGGCCGGATGTTTGCTGCTATGTGGAGACTATTATCGACGACACCCGAGCCAAGAACGGCGCGCCTCGTGCACATCTCGGTTACGCGGAGCTATTCATCGAGGTCAAGAGAGAGGCGAAGCAAGACTTCTTTACGGATCCCGAACCAGGCGCCGATCGCACGTCTCACCAATTCGTCCTCAACATGTCGAACGACAAGCTGCTGAAAAATGCACGAAAAGCACTTGGTCAGAATATCGCGTATGCCACGGAGGCTTGTGCTCGCCAACACCGCACATTCTACTTCTCTATATCCGTATCCGGCAACCATGCTCGTCTGATACGCTGGGACCGAGCGGGCTCAATTGTTACTGAAGACTTTGACCTTCACGAAGATCCACAATTCCTATGCGAATTCCTATGGCGATTTTCCCATTCCATGGATGCGCAGCGAGGATACGACATGACGGTTGAGCCTGCAAGCCCCGAAGAGGAAGCATTGTTCAGGGACGTCATCAAGACTCATGTGCAGGAGCAGCTACTCGAGGACGTTAAAGACCCCAAATCACTCAAACGGGCCATCGACAACCATTATCTCGCAAATACTGTCGTGGCCGTAAAAGTTGACGACGAACAATCTGGCGGTGTCCACAGATATCTCATATCTCGCCCTGTCGTGTCGCCCTTGTCTATGGCCAGCCGAGCGACGCGTGGATATTGGGCCGTTCGTGACGATGGGCAAATCGCCTTCCTGAAAGATACTTGGCGATATGAGGGAGATGATTTCGAAAAGGAAGGTGAGATATTGATAGCTTTGCACAAGGCTGGTGTTCGGAACATACCCAAACTATTGCACCATGGCGATGTACTCTCTCAGCAACATCCCATTCCGAAAAATTCGAAGGGCAAGCAGAAGCAGTCGGCGACGGACGACGGTGAGTCCGAATAGCGTTCCGTTTATACCTTGACCAATCCGCCCGATGTCTTAGAATGTATCCATCATACACTTACGGACAAGTATCTCGACGCTGAATGGGTTTGTACCGGAGGCGTGGGTGGCACAATGCGACAAATTGTCGTTACTCCACATGTTCATTATCGTGTGACGTTGGGCACAGTGGGTTATCCTCTGGACCAGTTCAGGGGAACAGAGGAGTTACTGTACTCCACTCACTGTGGCTACCAGGGTTGGTTCTTACAAACTATCCAGCGAAAATATCACGTTAACACGCGATCCTCAGCAATGATTGATGCGTATGACAAGAGTGGCAGATTGCATCGCGACATTAGCTTAGGTAACATTATACTCTACCGGGATCGCGGAAATGGCGTCAGGCGCGGAATTCTGATCGACTGGGAACTCTCATGCCGGCTTGATGACAAAGGCCAGGCCCGCAAGTATGAACGAACGGTAAGATTCAAAATATCTTGACATAGACAATATCTCATCTTAGAATGTTAGGGTACTTGGCAATTCATGTCCATAAACCAACTTAATGTTCGAAAACCTACTATCCATACTCTGCAAGACGACATGGAGTCTATTTTGTATGTCGTCCTTTACTGCAGCATTCGATGGGGGGCACATAATGTCGACGACAATACCGTCTTCGATACTATTCGTGACATGTTCGATAGCGGTAACGACGCGAAGGGTGGCGGTACCGGAAAAGTCAACAACATGGCGAATCGGCGATATACCGAAGAATATACCTTCAAAAGCTCAGCACTTCATCGTTGGCTAAACACAGCCATGGACTACCATTATCCTGTTGATCGTGATAAAGAGCGTAAATGGTCTGATCCGACGGATCTCGATCGGCTGTGGGTCACAATATTGAAGGAACCCCTGGAGAAGAATGATAGGGTGGATCGTAGGGCTGACGACCGCCACGCGCCCAAAAATGCGGCTGGAAACGCCTCTGGAAGTACGCCCGGAAATCCATTGCAGGCCACCATGGTTTCCGGATCTATGAGATTGTCGACTCAAAGTGGACAGAGGGAGGAATCATTGGTCAGCGCTGGCTCAGCAAGGAAACGTGCTCACGCAGAAGTCCACTTTGAGCAGGACGTGCTGGACCATGGAAGAGGGTCCAAAAGGAGGCGAACGATACGCTCTGTGTCGCGGGGAGACCTTGCACAGGGTATGCCACCAGTAGAGCCACGACCTGCGTCTCCGTTGAGACGCTCAACTCGCAGTGGCCAACCATCGCGGGCATCCGGTTTGAACCATAAGGAAGGCGCGTCTTCCCTCCGCCGCCGTAGTTAGATATCCTCGGCGAGTATGAAATTCAGTAAACGTCGCTAGAATAAAATTTAGGGAAAAGTACTATAGCTAGATCTAGGACTTGTATCGAATTATTAGGCTTCAATATATACTGACGACAACGTGTCCCGCGTTTGTTTTACGTCCGCAGCTACGATTGACGATTTAATCACTAGTACTAGTAGACATGACATTGCTCATGATCCCAGGGATCCCCGCACGTGATAGATGGAATCGATCGAGTTGCTGTCGCGCGGACGCGCATTGCCGAAGTGGGTGACCCACTTGTTCTTATTTCGTATGTTCATTGTTCATCTCTGTGGGCTGTGGCAGTTCGGCCACAATTGCAAGCGCATATAAAACCTCCCGACTTTTCATCATGTCTCCAACCACGACAACCAAGACAACCAGAAGGCGCAAAGCCAAAACAAAGGCCTCCACAGCAGTAAAGCCCCGACCAAAATCCAGAATGTCGCGCGTTACTCCTCCTGCAGCTCCCAGCGCTCCTCCAGTTACGCCTGTTAGTAGTAAGCCAAAGATACCATACCACACTCCCGTCGCAAAGAACGTGAATGGTGGACAACAATTCGGACTTGACCCAAAGCATGCTTCGGCGCGGAACAGACGGTACGCTATTGAAGCTCAGAAGTTCTTCCTGGGGCCGATGCCTGTGCAAGACTTTCTGGGTGACTTTCTTCCAAAATCCTCCAAGAAAGGCATGCCTTCCGACAAGGACGCATTCAAGCACATTCCAGAAACGGCGTCTCGTGAACAGGACATTTACACGCCTTTGGTGCGTGGACTGGAATTCAGTTTCACCCATTGTATGCTCACATCGTGAAATACAGATATCTGCGCTCAACGGAGACGGAAAGAAGAAAATGTCTCGATGTCCCGGCTTTGTATTCGACGAAACATCAACTAGAGGTGAATCACACGGCAAGGGGTCGATGCGACCTGATATCTGTTGCTATATAAAGGATATCATTGATGAAGCGAGAGACAAGAATGGAAGACCACGCGCTCATCTTGGCTATGCGGAGCTATTCTTCGAGGTCAAAAAGGACCCAAAGCAGGACTTTTTCACAGACCCCAAACCTGATGCTGACCGTGCCTCTCATCAGTTTATCTTGAACATTCCGAACGAGAGAACACGTCAAGAAGCTCTGGAGGCGCTTGGTCAGAATGTCGCATATGCTACTGAGGCTTGCGCTCGGCAACATCGCACTTTCTACTTCTCTGTGTCAGTGTCCGGTAGCCATGCTCGCCTTATCCGCTGGGATCGCGCGGGAGCAATTGTGACTGAGGGCTTTGATCTCCGCGAGCACCCAGAGTTTCTCTGCGATTTTCTTTGGCGATTTTCTCATGCCACGGACGCGCAACGAGGATACGACATGACAGTCGAGCCAGCGAGCCCTGAAGAGGAAGTGTTGTTCAGAGATGTCGTCACGATGCACGTGCGGGAGCAGTTACTCGAGGACGTCAAAGATGCCAAGGCACTGAAGCGGGCCGTCGACGAGCACTATCTCGAGACCAGAGTGATGGCTGTCAGGGTTTTTGATGAAACAACCCCGAGTCACAGCATCCACAGGTACCTCATATCCCGGCCGGTTGTGTCCCCCTTGTCTATGGCTAGTCGGGCGACACGCGGATACTGGGCTGTTCGCGAAGATGGTAGAATTGCGTTCTTGAAGGACACTTGGCAATATTCGGGAGATGATTTCGAGAAGGAGGGGGATATCCTGATTGGCTTGCACCAAGCCGAGGTGCAGAATATACCCGAGCTGCTGCATCATGGAGATGTGCCCTCTCAGCTGGAGCCTTCTGTTCCGAGCCGTTCCACAGGTAAGCGGAAGCAATCGGCAATGGACGATGGTAAGGAGATGAAACTTGTATTATGTGTGCTGCCCGGCTCATACCAAATTTAGTTTCGATACAACGGACACTCACTGATCAATACCTCGATGCTAAATGGCTATGCACGGGCGGCACAGATGAAGTTCCACGGCGTATTGTTGTGACTCCTCACGTCCACTATCGTATAACATTGGGTACCGTAGGCTATTCCCTCAAAACTTTCAGAGGTACGGAAGAGCTATTGCATTCCACTTATTGCACTTTTGAAGGTTGGTCCTTCTCACATCCGACATTAGTACTTACGTTTGACATAATGTGTCTAGCTATGCTTGATGCATATATAAAATGCCGGCGATTGCATCGGGATATTAGTCTGGGTAACATCATTTTGTTCCAGGATCCTGGGAGTGGTATTCGGCGTGGCATTTTGATTGACTGGGAGCTTTCATGCCGGACCGATCGAGAAGGTCTAGCTCGTAGATATGAACGAACGGTATGATTTATGTTATGTTGCTGTTGATAATATCTGATTTTAAACGACCAGGGGACTTGGCAATTTATGTCAATCGACCTCCTTAGCGCTGATATGTCTCATTCTCATTCTTTGCAGGACGACATGGAGTCCATCCTATACGTGGTCCTCTATGCCAGCATCCGATGGGGAGTGCACAATGTCGCTAACAAGAAGGTTCTCTCCACAATCAGTCGGATGTTTGATTGCGGCGACGACACGACAGGCGGTGGCGATGGTAAAGCATTGAACAGTAAAAATCGAACATACACAAGAATCTTCACGTTCCAAACTTCTACGCTTCACAGATGGTTGAATACTGCCATGGACTATCATGGATCTATCATGACTAGGAGGGGGGAGGATAGATGGTCAGACCCAAAGCACCTTGAGCAGCTATGGGTGGAGGTTTTGAAGGAGCCTTTGGAGAAGAATGACAGGGTGGACCGCATGCTGGACGGGAGCAACGCGGCCAGTGACGCATCTGGAAATCCCAATCGAGCACCACAGCAGCCTACTATGATTTCCGGATCTCGATCCACTTTGAGCTTCAAACGACAACTGCCGGGGTCGGAGAATAGTGCAGGCTCATCACGCAAGCGTGCTCACGCCGAAGTCCACTTCGACCAGGATATGCCG